CTAGAAGCGCCTTAGTCAATGACTATAATCCTAACTCAGCAAACTGCTCAATAGTTAGAACTCTACATTACCGACAACGTATCTCTTCAAAGTTATGACTCAATAAAACGCCCCCCCCCACCAGCCTGCGCCCTTCCTTCCTTAAATAGGCTACACAATAGTTTCTTAACACATAAAAACACAAAAGCACCGCACCCCGTATGGCCAAGTATCAAAAAAGTTTTTAAAAGCCAGTTCATCTCATTCCGTGACACATCAGCCAGTCCTTATGCCTTCATCATATCTTCTGGCGAGACGAACACATCTAGACTTACTACAAAAACATACCCTTCTCTCTTGCCAAAGACATAAAAGTGGATACAACCCTTGTATAAAGGAGAACACACCCTTGTCGGCTCACAGAAAAGAGGGGTAAGTTGTATGCATAGCTTTATTTATTTGTACAAGACTTGGATTCCACAAACAAATCTTCTCTACACTTGTTACTAGAATGCTTTGAGATAGACCGCCATGGCTTACTGAATACATCTTGCGATACCTACAGTGTCTAGAGTTTTCATTTTCAGACAGTTGGTGCACATGGTTCCCTTCAGAAACGTCTGGAGCCAAATCCTGAATTCGATACGAGATGGGCAAACAGGAAATTAATTAGGAGAGTGTATGTCTGTGTGAAACGTCTCTGAGGGCTGTCATGATTCAGTCAGGCAACCTCAAGTGATAAGTTTCGTGTGTTGTGCGAAATCTCTTGTATACCGATTCTGATTAGGAATATGATTAGTGACTTTCTAATGATGATATAAATCTGATCTGATTATGAGGCAACCTCATAGATATTTCAGAAACAATGCAAGGAAAATCTCCACTTTCTAAACAACTCCACGTAACATAGACCTCCCTGAAAAAGAAAACTGGGGATTGCTCAGTTGTTCAAGAAATTTCACGTCTTTTATTGCATCCGAAGATTAATCACTGTGGACACAGCCACTGGACCGTATCTTCAACATCATGAATCTGGTTCATACACCTATACATGATTTTTTTTCGCTGACTCTACAGTCCCCTTGGTCTCTAGCCCCTGATTTTCAGTTTTATGATCATTTTACAGACGCTACGATTCCTTGGACGAGTGATTAGCAGTTGCAAGGCCTCTACCTAAACACAGAACCACACTAAAGCATAACAAACATCCATGACTTCTGAAGGATACGAACTCACGATCCCACTTTCCGAGCGAGAAAGGACAGTACATGCCTTAGACAGCTCGGCTACCATGACCGGCCATGATTACTGTAGTACCCAATAAAGTATCGTAGTTCTCATTCACGCTTAACTTCTCTTCTTGTTATCCGTCTAAAATTCTGCATGCATTTCTCGTGTATCACATGCGTACTACATAAACCTCCCACCGCATCTTCCATGATTAGGTATTCCTAATAATGTTTCTATTCTAAAATCTGAAGATATAGAAAATTTTCTTTCTCTGTGATGTCATATTAGATTTAGATATGAAATTGGATATAGCTCGTTGCAGAAATGTGATATGCTACAGGAGTTAAAATTAAGTATGGGATTGGATTAACACTGTCGAGGTATGTAACACGATAGAGGGAAACTATAATTGCATAAAAGTTGTTGATACTGAAACCAGACAGCAAGATACCACTACTAGGCGTAAATAATGTGGAGGATGCGGTACAGCAATTGGTTGGGGCACTATGCTACAAGCCGGAAGCTCGTGGGTTCGATTCCCAATTAGGCAATTGGATTTTTCAATTTACCTAATCCTTCCAGCTGCACTATGACTCTGGGGTTGTCTCAGCCTCTAACAGAAATGAGTACCAGGAGTTTTCCTGGGGGTAAAGGGCGGCCGGTGCGTAAGGCTGACAACCTTACCTCCATCTGTAAGCCGATTGTCTAGACAAAACGTGGGAGTCTCGACGTCTCACAACCCTATGAGCCTTCATGGTCTGTTACAGGGATAGCTTTTCCTTTTTTATGTATGTAAATAATAGGATGATTTTATTAAAATTCTAATTAAAATAGTACATAGGGGCAAGAACTGGACTGAACTGGCTGCTGTTTAAGATTCAGTAATTTTGGCTAGTGTTACAGGTTTATGGTTCTGTATTTACGGTCCTGAAAGTTATTATATTATTTAACTGAGTGCCTTCTTATGAGGTTAATAAGTGCTATGTCTGCATAAACAAACTAAGGAAAAGTCAATTAAGTTTTCCTTTTATCCCGACAAAATGCGTACATATCACTTCCAGTCCGTCAAACAAAGAAGTTTGTATGTCCGATGTAGTATTTAACGCTGCAATATTCCGCTGGATTTTGCGAATTATTAGCCATTTGGAAATCCATAAAAGCAGTTAATTCCTGGACGGATTAGTAACTATCAACTTTTCAAAATAAACTGTAAAGCATCGCGTTAGTCAGTGTTCAAGTAAATGAATGGAGAGTGAAATAATCTGAAAATGAAGACGAGAAAGAAGTCAAATTTTGGTTTTGAAAAATATTAAAATTTCAACCAGACAGCAGTGAAGGAGTCGGAATAGCACAGTCGGTATAGCGACTGAGTACAGGCTGAACGACCGAGGGGTCGCAGTTCGGGTCCCAGTAGGATCAAGGATTTTCTTTCTTCCACGTCGTCCAGACCGGGACTGGACCCACCCAACCTCCTATCCAATGAGTTTCTGGAGTTCTTTCCTTGAGGGTTAAGAAACCAAGACGTGAAGCTGACTACTCATCTCCAACCAGTGCCGAGGTCAAGAAAATATGGAGCTATAGATCGACTCCCCCATACGCCTTCATGGCGTAGTGTTTTATTGGTTAAGCATACGGACTACGATATCTCTCACCAGACAGCAGCGAAGACGAAGCAAGTTGTATGAATCTTTACGAAAAAAAAACTATGTTGTTTATTATGAAGTGTGGGAAATAAATTACAATTTATCTTATTTTATTTACTTTAAGTGTGTTCATTTAAGGTAATAGGAGATCTGACCTTCCTCTTCAAGTTTTGTAAACAAGTGCTCTGCATAAGCTCCTCAGACTTTTAATCGACTGATCTCAGTCTGATCCTGCACAATGGGCAGGAAAATAAAGATGATTTCTTATAAAAAGTGGCACCTAGATGTGAAAATAAATCCGGCCGAAAAAGGAAGCTGATTTCTCAATCCCTTTTGTTTTGTTGTCTAAAATTTGAGAAGAATTCACTTCGCGAACCCTGCAAGTTTCTAGTGTTTGAGCAGATGGGCCACTGAATCATTTAGGCCTACCTTTATAGAAACGCATACAAACAATTCTGACGTTTATCTTACCGCATAATTCACATTTAGTGTGTGAGTATATATATATATATATAAAACAAAAAAATTAACTCCGCAGCTTGAGTCCTCAAGCTAATTATACCGGCCGAGCTACCGCCGCTTGTCGACGAAGTTAGTGCCAACTTTAGAGGATTGAGGATGTCGCGTGATTATGCTCACGAGGCTGAATGGACCCCGTTCCAGACCCACTACTTCTCAGAAAATCTGGTAGCGCCTGGAATCAAACCCCGGCCTCTGGATCTGTAGCCAGGAACTCTGACCACTGGACCTCATAAGCGGTCATGTATATATATATATATATTGTGACAGGAGGACTGAAGGCCGGAATAGTGGAGTTCCCATTATTGTTAGCCGCTACCAAAGCAACGGCCGTCTCTTCTGGCTCCACTATGTAACCGCTCTCCCCCTTCACTCACCTCACTCACTCACAAAGTTGGGTTAAGTTGGACGCAGCTTCAGTCACAGGGTTAAGGTGGATGTAGCCGCTCTTGATAAGTAATTTAACAATGACTTCGAAGTATTGGGGGCCAGCTCACACATCGGTGAACACAAGATCTTCCTCAGGGTCGTTAAGTGGGCCTTGGCTCCAACAACAGAGTCCACAAACCAAAGACAACAATCGCACAAACACTTGACACGTTATTATAATGAACAAATTACATGGTCGAATTACATCTGAAACTACTGGGTATAGCCCTTTGTTACGGGCGAGACGCATGACGCACTTCTTAAATATTTGAGAGCCAGGACGCGTCTGTTTGAAACAAAGGACTGCGTAGGATATCAAGCTATTGCTAGTATGATGTCACACTGGGTAACTAGCAATTCTGATTGGCTGTACCACTGGGAAGTCCCTAGGTAACTGCTCACAAAGCTTGCATCATACATCCCCGAGCAACAGGGGAACTCCGGAATTATAAGACTCCTCAAGTCACGCTACATTGCGTAACCTTCTACTCGGTACGTAGTGCATAGCGTAATATTTTTTTTATTATTATTACTCTTCTTTACAATCTACATCATTACAGAGTATTAAGTAAATGTGTTGTAGGTGGTTAGCGTAGCGTAATATACGTAATTTTACAAATTTATAATTGATTAAACCTTATAAAAATACAATGGTTTTCACAAAATTAATTGTATACATAAATTTGGTGAATTAAAGTAAAGTAAAGTAAAGCTATCCCTGTAACAGGCCGTGAAGGTCAATAGAGTTGTGAGATGTTGAGGGTCCCACATTATCTAGACAATCGGCTCAAAGATTGCGGTGAGGTTGTTAACATTACGCGCCGGCCGCGCTTTACTCCCCAGAAAAATTAGTTAATTAATTCCTGGTACTCATTTCTGTTAGAGGCTGAGTCGACCCCAGGGCCATAGTGCGGCTGGAAGGGTTAGGTAAATTGAAAAAAAAAAAAAAAACAATTTTGGTGACGTATGTTATTAAAAAGGAATAATCGGTTATAACTATTCCGAACTTCTGCTCTCATGCCACTATATATATATATATATACTATTTGAGAATTATGTAGTGAGATAAGGGTCAGATTTTGTAACAAATGATCTGCAGTATCTTCAATCGATTGCAAACTAAACGATTTGCACTATTTACACTGAAATAATGGTGTGACTTCCAAATTCATAGAAAGAAGAACTTGGTTGAGGACTTACTTGTTTTGGAGCGGGGTTCCCTGGGCCCGTCCACCGTCACTTTGATGGCCTTGTTGTACGTCGCCATCTGTGGGGGTGAGGAACTCACTGTGATTGTCAGTGTGAAACTTTTTCCTGCAACAAGACACAGGGCTGCAGTGATTGTCAGCTTTAAATACTTTCCTGCAACAAGACAAATGCATTGCAGAGATTGTCAGCATGAAAACATTTCCTGTAACAAGACAAAGTGTTGTGAGCATGGAAACAGAGGACATTGTATTTGAACCGTCACCAGGCAACGACTGGTGAAGAAAGAGCAGGCTGAAAAGGCCTAGTGTGTCCAATAGTAAAGTGCAGTAAATCCGATTAGCAATCCAAACCCCGTCTATAGTGAGTCACGTGACAATAGTATTTGGGGTCTGCACCGAGATATTTGAAGTAAATTTCATTTTGTTTTGTGTCGGTCAAAGGTAACATCTAAAGTAAAATCAACCATGTCTCCAATCTAAACAAAATTAGAAATGTAATGTGATCCTTGTAACAGGCCGTGGAAGCCCATAGGGTTGTGAGATGTAGAAGCTCCCACATTTTCTAGACAATCGGCTCACAGATGGTAGTAAGGTTGTCAGCCTTACGTGCCGGGCCCCCTTTACCCCCAGGAAGATTCCTGGTACTCATTTTTGTTAGAGGCTGAGTCGACCCCAGAGCCATAGTGCGACTGGAAGGATTAGGTAAATTGAAAAAAAATCCAATGACCTTATCGGGATTCGATCCCGCGACCTTCCGGCTTGTAGCATAATGCTTCAACCAACGACTCTACAGCGTGCCCCTGATTAGATATGAGTGACTAAGAAGAAATGTGGCAAGGTCCGCATCGTAATGGCTGCCTTTTGCAGAGAATTGTTCACAAGATCATAACTTGGAGAGGAAACTATTAAAGAAAAATCATTTTTTGCAAAAGAGGTTGTTAGCACAATATTAGAAGACCGTAGAGTCGGTGAGTAATTGACGAACAACATAAGAATATCATTAATAACCATAACATCCCCTGAAATCATTTGTTCCTGTAATTCTTACTGAATTAGCTATGACGGGATTCTTTTAATTCCACGGTGTGATCAACTTCGTAAAGCATATTTCTTTGTCTAGAACATTAGATGACAGACACACGACGGGTAAAAACAGGTAACGGCTGCAAACCTCACTGCATTACATCTTGTTATTTATGACAGTATAAGAAAGAACCCCCTCGTTGGTGTCTGCACCTTATCGTGGTGAGGGGGTTTGAGTATGCCAAGGACCCTGAGAGCTATACCAGCGGTAGTGTAGCTACTGGCAGGGCCTCCCTTGCTGGACAGGTCAAAGGGTAGGCATCAGACGAAGAGAGACACCAAAAACTGATGCCGGAAGCAGCGTCATCAGCAGCGACTTGAAGCACAGAGCAAATGATGCTCGAGATGGTTCAAGTTCATATAGCAACAGGCGTGACCAGAGTGGTTTGAACGGCTGTTGTACTGCGATGTGGAAAGCAAATGGAAAAACTACCACATTATCACTTTTCCTGGATAGTCTCTTTCCAAAAACAGAGATACCATGCATGCGAGATGTTTCCTCTGGAGGCAAAACAATCCGGAGGTAAACTATTCCCCCAGTCGGATCTCCGGGGGGGAGTGTTTCTAGAGGAAATGTCATGCAGGCGTTACAACAAGAAAAGAAAACAGAAGAAAGAAAGGGCCGGTCACGGTAGCCGAGCGGTCTAAGGCATGTACTGTCTTCGCTCGCTTGGAAACCGGGATCGTGGGTTCGAATCCCACTCAGGGCATGGATGTTTAGTTTGTGTGTGTGCGTTTTGATGTTTTTGTGTACAGGTAGAGGCCTTGCGACGAGCTGATCACCCGCCCAAGGAGTCCTACCGAATGTGTAAGATCAAGAAAAACCGAAGTGAACGGAGAAGTTCATGGAGGTAGGGCTAGGCCCACTGGGGCTGTAGCGCCAAGGAAAAAAAATAAGAAAGAAAGACGATCTTTAGATTCTATAGGGATCTGGCGATAGTGTATAATATATGGTGTAGAATTACTGGGGTTTTGGACTTTTTCCATCGTCCGGTATTCTAGAAAATATAAGAGCACTACGATTCTGAAACTGGATATGCTTCCATCCTCAGGTGAGGGGGGAAAACACCTTTTCAGTTGGGCCCCTTAGAAAGAGCTAATAGCCCAACTGAGTAGGTGTCTTCCCCCTCATCTGAGGATGGAAGCAGATCCAGAATACCGGTCGGTGGAAAAATTCCAAAAACCCAGTACGACACCCTTTGTTTCAGAATTAGTGATTCTCTTGCAGCATTCGACCCGTGCGCCACGGTTTGAGTGCCTCGGCGGGCGGTTATGATGTCAATAAGCTTCTATTTCTGGACCGGACATTGTAAGGAGCTGGGTTGAAGGGTGTAATCGATTTGCCCTACAGGAGAAATATTACACAGAGCGCTTTCCAAGAAACCGTAGGGAGCTTGAGAATGGCTTGTGCCAATTTCGCTACAGCTCCAACGTTCCGGGAGGCGGGGCACTAGTCTCGGCGCGGCAGAAACTAAGACACTTGCATGTAGCTCAGTAGGGTCACACCGCAACAAACCCTTCTTTCTGCAAAGTCGTGTCGGCATAGTGTGTTTCTGCAGAGTTGTATGCTTGTACAGTGTCTACGTATGTTTTTATGTACCTATGATATATGTATGCGTGTATGTACGTACGTGCTTATCTATGTAGCTAGGCCGCGCCATAGCTCAAGCGGTTAGTCGCCGGCTTCCCACAGCGGCGGTCCAGGTTCGATCCCGGGTCTGGTCAAGTGCGATTTGTGGTGGACAAAGTGGCGCTGGGGCAGGTTTTCTCCGAGTATTTCGGTTTCCCCTGCCAGCTTTCATTCCACCAATTGCTCCACAATCACCCTCACCTATCATCTGGGGCTGGTACAATAGGCCAGAAGTGGCCGCAGTACAAAGGACTTAGTCCCACCCCACTAGCGATAAAAAATATATATCTATGTAGCTATGATTTATCTCTGTGTATGTGTAGGCTCTCTTTGAAAGGAGAATGAAATTGAGGAGGAGGAGGATATGGAGTGGAACCCACAAAGACAAAGAAAGTGAGGAAGACCAAAGAGGAGCTAGCAGAGAAAAATACGAGAGGAAGCCTTGGAAGCTGGGAAGACACGGGGAGAAATTCAACAACTCAGCAAGAACCGTGTAAGACGGTGACACTCTGTTAATGCCCTATGCTCCACTGGGACCTAATGATGATGACGATGTAGGCTACATGCGTATATATGGTGGCATGTAGACCCGTTGCTAGGCGACGGCCGCGAGATAGGAGACTGCCTATCAACGGCCAGCAGACAGCAGAGGAAGGGTCTTTTTACGCGATCCGCTTAACAACAATTAAACAGCAAAAAATTGACGGTGTTTTCTGTGCGGTCCGCGCCGAAATGTTGTAGGCAGGGCAAGTCTAAGAATTCAGTTAGTGTAATGAAGTGAGTTGGTTGGTGAGTTACTTAGAGGACTGCTGCAGTTCAGTCCTTGTGAGTTGTTGCTGTCAGAACCTCGTATCTGAGTTAAGGGGAGAGTTCGGGAACTCAGAGGAAGAGGAACGTCTGCCGTTAGAAGCCGTTACCAGACATCGACTGGTGAAAACACAGCGGACTGAGAAGACGTAAGCTTCTATGCTAGTGAATTGTCAATTGTATGAATTTGCAACAGTGTTACAGATATTTGTAGTTACGATCTGTAAGTGTTCAATAAACCCAGTTACCAATCCAAGCCCCGTCTATAGTCACACTCTTAAAGATGGCAATGTGTAGGCTTGTATACATATACGTATCCCGGTTGACTTGTCGAAATGCATTTTTGTACAACACGTAGCCGTAAACGTATTGTGGCCCACTGGTTGAGGAACACCGACTAAGCCGAAAGGTAGTAGCAATTCCATAACATAATCAAGGAGTTCGGTTTTAAAGAATCTTCACTCTTCAACATCACCATCTTCTAGAAAGTGACATCGTCCAGTTTTGTACATAGGTATCAACATTTCGGGAAAAGGCCGATGCTCCCATCTTAACGGCAGCATATATCATATATGAAGGCAGTAGATTTTCCGAAATACTGGTGCCTATCTACCAAACTAAATGGCGTAACATCTTCGCAGTTATCACGGTGAGAACCTCAAATCCAACTTTTCATCCACAAGCTACGAGAGCACATGAAGAAAGGAGCACGCCACTGCAAACACGGGATCTCACTGTCGGCTATACTCAGAACTGCAGTGGCGTGCACATCCTACAAAACATTTAACCCTGTACTTGAAAGGAACTGTGGGTAGTCCTCGGTGCGCGGACCATGCGTGGCCCGACGGCTCCCTAATAATCTCACTTTATCCTTATTTATTTTAAGACGATGTATCTATATTAGGCCTATATACCGTCAAATTATAGAATGACTCGTGAATGGTGAACTAGAAAGGATTGGGAAGGAAGCTGTCTGGCTTTATTGAAATGTTATCTCGGTATTCGTCCGAAGGGACCCAAGAGAACTTTGAAAACAACTCAGCCAGGAAAACCGGTGTCCTGTCCGAGATTCAAACCCAGGATTTCCCGATTAAAAGTCTAAAACTTTACCCAAACACCAATTTGTTTTCTCAATGTGACCCACTGGGCAACTTCTAGAACGAAAAACATATCCGTTTATGTTAATATTTTAAAATGTTAAGCCTGGCTGTTGAGAAAATGAAGAACTTGTTGACAGTGGCGTTCTTCTATATGCATATTAACAATATTCTATATATTTACTCCAGTGTAGAATAATTACAAGTTTAAATTAGGTTATTTGCATAGTGTTGTCTCCTCAGACGCGTGACACCGTGTAGTCTGACAGACGTTTACGGGCTTTTTGGAGGAATGTGTCGCCACTCTCTTCAAGGCCGAAAAGTAAGAGCAGTGAGCAAAACAAAGAGTGAGGCCATACGCTTCTCCGAAAATTCGGTAAAATTTTTATCAGACTACACGGTGTCACATTCCAGAAGGGAGAAATCTTCATACACAGCGTCATCAGAACCTCAAACCTCACATTCGTTATTCGCACTTCTGCGCACCTC